TTCCTTTTTCACCACTTTGAACAATTCCTGGAGTTCATAAAGAGTCTAGTAAACAACTTGCGACAGATTCATGTAATTTTCGGTAAGCTGTATAGGAATCTGCTGCAGAACTGACAGAATTTTGTCCCACACAGAATGTTGTTTGCGACATAATACTTAGACGTGCAACAACATTTATTCCAATATGGAAGAGGTCTTATTTACCTTCACGTTTTTCATCACCAATATAGTGGCATTTCATAATAACTTTGTTGCAGCCATAGCATTAGAAATGTTGCACATAAAAACTACCAGAACCTGAACACACACACACATCAGAAATAGCAAGAAAACGGTTGCACTGCTTTCATAATTGGGGCGTACTTTCTAATGTAGCCATAATGCCAGAAAAGTGTCACAAATGCTTTATTGAATCGCTCCCTATGTATTATAAACAATTACATGTTTTCCATTGACTGATCTCCTTCAGCCTCTTTCAGCCACTTCCAGTCTACAAGCATTCACTTCAAAGTGGCTACATAGCATTTTTCAGGGTGTTTCCCGATAGTGACAATAGTAGACCATGCCTGTACAATAAGCGTCATTACAGCCGCCTTTAGAACTCCCGGAAGCACACGTGACAGCAGTGGCGACTCTAGGAACAATATGGGGGGGTGGGGGGGGGCACTAATAATTTTCACCACTAAATCATACCACTGAAAAAAAACTGAAGAAGTATATATAAATAAGAATACATATATGAGAGTGGTCCGGTATGCAATGATTATTATAGTGATGTTGGGGAGCTCACAGAGCACTCACAAAGCATTTTTCCATTACCGAAAAGTCTTTATTGGTCTTTCAACAGCAGATACTCAAGAAAGCTCAACATACAATAGCTTGTCTTCAGCAGAATATATATATTGTCTCAGCAATCACCGAGTTGTTCCATACACTCACGGTGTCCCAGTCGTTTAATAGTTCTCTCTTGCAGCACTGCTGCTCTGGCCTCAATCTTCAGGGCCACTGTCTGGTTCCCCCAGACAATCTCAATAACGTGCCAATCCCCACCATAGGCTTCACAAACCTGGCCTCCACACTGACTCCTGGGTGGAGCTCTCCTGTCTCCCAGGTGGGGTCCTCAATACATCCCAGCACCCTCTTCATGAGGGATGTACACAGGTGCACAATTAGGTGCTTGTCACTACTAACCCATGGACCCAGGACTGGAGATTTCGTCCCACCCAGAGCTCTAAGAAATCTCTTGGCTCCAGGATCCCAACTACGATCCAGAAAGCAAGGAAAGGACTGAAATGGCAGTTCTTTCCTGGTACAAGTACTTTCCTCCTGGAGCCACTCAGCCCTTCTGGCTGAGAATCATGGGTCACTTTGAGGCCACATAACACAGTGGTATTGCCACGCAATGCCACAATATATAGTACAATAAAAAGGCATGTTATGTAGACAGATGGGTTAGACTCAGGGCCAGAAGTGTATGGTTTAATGTCTCCCTCTTTCTTTCCTGTGCGGCTATCTACCATAGAGTGCTGGGAGCAATGTCATTTCCTCCAAGCACAGCAGAGATTGGGGGCGGTGTCGGATTACATGTTGCAACCGCCGAGAGCTGATTTCATTGCAGATGACATTAGCGCCCGATGGTTGTGACATGTAGTCCAATCCCGCCCACAATCCTGAATACCGCAACCGCCAATGCCATCCGCAATGAAATCAGCTCTCTGCGCCCGGCGATTGCGGTATACAGGATTCGAATCCTAGAGCGGCAGCCTAATTTAGCGTGCAGGGGTGGATCCAGAGCCTAGTGTAGGGAGGGGCACTACCAGAATATAAGGTGTTGCTTACAGAATAGAATATTGTAAGAATACATTACGTTGCAGTTTTTTTTTTTACAATGGAATCTCTGCCAAACATATGACACATTACGGTAATTAAAATGGGTCTTTCATCCACATTGCACATTACTATGGTTTTTTTGCTGTAGAGCTTTGTGATACAGATGATCCAGGTACAGTGTGAAGGATGGAGGGCCCCCAACTGAAGGTAGGGGGCCTGGGAACCTGCAATGTTGGCGGTTACCAGGGCCCCCTTCCTCTTGTCTGCCCCCCTCCTCCAAGTGACAGAATGCTAGGGGCCAGTCACAGCTGCAACTATGTGACACTGGTAGTTCTGCCACTGTATAGAGGACTATAAAACCCAACAATACATTATGCAGCAATGCAGAATACCACCAGCTATAGAGGACTACAAATCTCAGCAATACATTATACAGCAATGCAGAATAATACCGTCAGCTATAGAGCACTACAAATCCCAGTAATACATTATACAGCAATGCAGAATAATACCGTCAGCTATAGAGCACTACAAATCCCAGTAATACATTATACAGCAATGCAGAATACCACCAGCTATAGAGGACTACTAATCCAGCAATACATTATACAGCAATGGAAAATGGTACCAGCTATAGAGGACTACAAATCTCAGCAATACACTATACAACTATACAGAATAATTAAAGTTGCACCAAAATTACAATTTTAACACCAAAACAAAACCGAAATGACAAAAAAATGTTGGTCCGAAACCAAAAATGAAACTTTTCAAAAATGTATACATATTTTATTTTTAATTTATTAATTTTTATAAAATATTTTTGTTTTTTACTTTACTTTTAGGTGCTTCGGGGAAATATTGGGTATCTAAACAGATCCCTGATATTTCCCTTTTAAAATAGAAAAAGAGATTTAGGACAGAGGCCTCAATCTTTTTTTCTGCAGCCCCTGCTATAAATGAACAGGAATCCTCTATATTGAGTGTTCCTGTTCATTCATAACATGAAGACAGAGTATGTTTACTATAACCACAATTATGAATGAACAGGTGGTGATGTAGATCCCTTCCCATTCATTCATAATTGAGAATATACTAACCATACTATGTCCTTATTTATTTAGAAAACACTTGGCAATCACTGAGTATTTGCACTCGGTCTCCATCCTGACTCGCTGTCACAGGAGGCTGAGCGAGAGGTGCGGGGAGGAGAGCTCGATCTGACAGCTGTCTTCTCCCCCGCACCGCCTCCTGTGACAGCGCTGGCTGTCTTCACCCCCACACACCGCACTCCTCTGATCTGTGACAGGAGGCTGAGTAGTGCGGGGAGGAGAGACACCGGCCACTCACAGCACTCTCCTCCCGCATCGCTTGGCCGCCTGCGATCGTTGCTCTCCTCCCCACTGGAACACAGAGTAGCGCCCAGCGGGGAGGAGAAAAAGAATGGATGCACCGCTATAGCGGCAGAAAAATGGCACTTTCGGCATTTTGCCAAAAGTGCAATTTTTGGCAGCCAATATACCGGTATCCCTAAGATTAATACCATTTGTTATAGAGCACTACAAATCCCAGCAACACATTATACAACAATGCAGAATACCATTATCTATAGAGGACTGGTGCTGGGTCCCGTATCCTGGTCTTCGGTGCCATGGAGCTCTGGGCCAGTCCCTGGGCACACGGGCCTGCGCCTGCTCCATGCTCCAATGTGCTGCTCCTAGGATTTCATGAAAATGTCTCCACAGCTCCCATGTCAGCTATGGGGTACACAGCTCACTTGACCTCTAATCCCATCCCCTAATATCACTGTGCCCCCCATCATCCTGCTCCCACCTACAACTGAGAAAGCTGAGTGCAGTGACATCCTCCTGCGTGAGAGTGGGTGAGTGTCTGACACCCTCAATGCATTGTGGGTGTCAGACTAAAAAACTAACCCTTAGGTGTTCATTTATACTGTTGCATTGTGTTAAAGAATACACATACACATTAAGCCACACATTCATATGTGTCTTTCTAAAGCAGCCCAGTTATAAGATTTATTAGTTATTTGCATTTCTGGAGATGCAGAACACCCCAACCCTTGGTAGTGCTTTACTGTGTGTTCCATTGCAATGTAGATATGCTGGCAAAGTGCATTGGGGTGGCTTTAAGAATAAATGGCACAGCACTGCACTTACACGCATTATCGTTTATTGCAGTAACACTCATGGTAGTTTATTACCATATTTCAGGATTTTTTATGTTTTTTTTAATCTTTTAAATTTGTACTAATATGGTATAGCACCAGTTTAAAAAGCTCGGAAGAGGGAGGCATTCTTGCCTTGGGTGCCAAAAGAACTTGGTCCAGCACTGCTAACAATTCTTGAAGGAGAATTCTCCAGGAAAGAAGGGAACCAATCCAATCCAATAAATTGGTTCACAAACTCCTACTTGCACATTCCCCCAGAAATTGGGGTTTAAAGGCAATGCATGGGGGTTTTCTAGATACTTTTTTTTTTAAACAAACAAACATATAAAACAACAAAAAAGTTTACACTTAAAGCCCAACTCTGTGTTGATCAGTGATTAAAAAAATTCAGTCCCTGGTATCTTCTAAAAATAATAAAGCAGCTTGGGTTGCTACACTTAGCTGATTTCCGACGCTGTTCCGCAGTGCACCGCACAAGCAGCAGCATGCCCCCCCCTTGCCTCCCTGTAGCGACGCCACTGTGTGACAGGGTGACAATGTAGAAGAGCAATTGGGAGGCAGGGGCAGTGGTCAAACCAAGTTCTTCATGGTAGGATCACCAGATATTATTTTAATGCAAGTTGCAGACTTAAAAAATTAAAAAAATAAGTTTTGAAATTACATTGCCAAGTTAAAAGGCAACCAAGTACCCTGTAGATGTATTACCAAACCACACTGAAATGCATGGCGGTTATTTTGTGGCTTTGCTCAGAGATTTGAGGTACGCCTAAAAACTAAATAAAGTGGAGCTAATTTTTAAGCTGAACCAATATTGATGAGATAACATTCTATCAACACAGTATCATATAAGTACCATTGAAACCTGTTAAGATTCTTCTTTTTTCCCCCAGAAAGTTAGACAGAAAGCAGACATAAAAGTAATATAAGCATTAACCTTCACAACAAACATTCTTTACACTGAACTGTGTAACAAGCATCTTACCCGAGTAGTAGATCTGTCTTCTCACTGTAAGCAGCACGTGACCATTACGAGCAGCATTTGTCATTAAATCTAGGACCTGCTTGTGGGACTTCCCCTTCACAGGTACACCATCAATACAGATTAGCTCGTCTGCAGCTCGAAGTCGTCCATCTTTTTCAGCTGCTCCTAAAGGTATAATGGCTCCAATATAAATCTGCAAGCAGAGAAGGAATAGACCAATGGTAGTTAAAGTGTAGAACTTGATTGTTTCAAGTCAAAGGACAATATCCATCCCTATCCTCATCAACATGCTATTGAAATGATTACATACACCTGTTTTTATTACATGCTTTATTTTAGACCCACCAATGTTTGTTTGTACATTGTACAAAGTACTATTTTTGCAGATTGCACTGGACCGGAACACAGGCACTAAGGTGCCTGTGTTCCGTGTGCGTTCGACTGCACTGCGGCCAGGGGCGTGGTAGTGGTGCCATTGACTTCAATGCACCGGCACTCCCCCTCCTGAATGCAGGGAGCCGGCCGGCTTGTGTTCCATAGGCCGAACGCACTGGAACACGGACTTTGTGGTGTGAACTGGCCCTTGCAACTGTGCAAGACTGAAGTGAAAGCTAAACTCCAAGCAGATTTGAAAGAAAAAAAATGAGTTACATAATACGTACATCAATAAATCTAGTTTTAGATGTAACCAGTGGAAGCACTTGAATATTTGTTTGGAATCAGCCTTTTCTAGTTATTCTCATTAGATATTTTTTCCCACTTCATTTTATTCCTTACAAGCCCCCATGTGATAGTTTGGAGGTGACAGGTTCTCTTTATGGAACTTGCCCTCCAACAGAGAACAGATGTACTGTGCAGTTCCTGACAGCTGAGACAGGTGGCGCTGTGATTATAGCGCCACGGTCTCAGTGATCACACAGAGCAGGCGAAGAACGGAAAACCACAGCGCCCGAAACTGCATGTCCCGGCGTCGGGCGATAGGAATTCCACACCCCTGCAGTAGAAGAGCAGGACATACCACAGCATCCTCATCTCTATACCCGGTTGAGGGTAGTGTCACTGAAAACATTGACGCCTAAGCAGAAACATGACAACCAAAGTATAAACATGACAGCAAAACATTTTCATAAGGAGAGGTCAACAATTAGTGACTGCGTTCCAGTCCAGTGCGATCTGCAAAAATGCTGCAAGCACTATATTTGCAGATCGCACTGGACTGGAACGCAGGCACTAATGTGCTTGCGTTCCGGGTATGGGCAATCACACTGTGGGCGGTGCCATTTACTTCAATACAATCCACGCCCCCTTCCGCCCCTGAACGCAGGGAGCCGGCCGGCTCTCATTCCAGTGCGTTCTAGATGCCGAACACTCTGGAACACAGACTTTGTGGTGTGAACCAGCCCTCTCTCTTGGATGTCTATTCTCACTCTCTTTGCTCTCTCCCGTTTCTATCGGCTGTCACTTCTCTCTCTCTGCTGTCTCTTCTTTAACTTTCTCTGCTCTCTCTCTGCTGTCTCTTTCACTTTCTCTGCCTTCACTCCATTGTCTGTCTTTTCTTACCTCCACTGCAGCAGCTTCCCAGGTCTCCACTCGTGCACCGGCATCCTGTCCTCCCGCGGTGCTCGTGTGGCCGACGTTGCACACGGGGAGAGGTGTCCCACCTCTTCCCGTCTGCAGCGTCTGACACATTCAGCCGGCAGCCGCACAAGCACCTTGGGAGCAGAGCCGAAGCTACCTTTTTTTTGCGCCCGAGGCAAGAAAAAAAAAAGTGCCCTCCCAACAGGCGTGTGAAGTCATCCAGCGCCCCGCCTCCAGGATGCGTTTAAATAATTTTTTATGTATAATATTTCTTTATTGTTTCTATAACAATACAAACATATAAACATCCTGTTAAAATACTCTCCCAGTGAGAAATCCAATCAGAAACAGAAGAGAAATATATTCATAACTTCTTCCTAAAACAGCCACCATCAATTTTATTTTTTTCTGTTGGGGGGGGGG